AAATATTTTCTGTGAAATTCAGTAATTAAGTTAATTCTGTAAAAGTAGTTATACCATTATAATCTTGCCTGCTGAAGAAAAAAAACAATAGAAACCCTCCCAAAACACAATAACAAATGTAATGGATTTCAGGGTTATAATGGGAATTTGTTTGGTTTTAATGTAAACTATAATGGCGTATATTTGATGGATTGTATTGGTGGGGTGTAATCTGGCAGATGGCAACCAATAGAACAACAGTAATTCCTATTGAAATAATGCCCAAAACAAAAATGAATTTTGTAACGGTTTAATGGAAACTATAAGAATTTCTGTGATGGTTTCTATTGTTTTTTTCAGCAGGGTAATGATACCCATACTGTGCTGCACATTATTGACAATATCGAGCTGAAGCTTGACTTTGCAAATTTAAAATCGCAATTTGATATTTCCCCCCAAATCGCACAGCCCTAGATCAAACGACTATTCGACAACAAAAATGTGTTGAAAACTGTTTTTCTTGTCGATGTCGACTAATCGTTTCAACCCTATAACGGGCTTCCATAAAAACCAGCTCCTAAATCTGTGAAAAGTTAGCCTACTCTTTATTTGAAAATGGCTGTATTTTTATTTTAAAAACTTTATTTGAATATGGCAACAATTTTTCAGCAGCTTTGTAAATAGGTTTGAAGACGAAACTCTTACCCGAGAGGTTTTCCTGCTATTTAGGAGAAATCTTAGTGGTAAGATGAAATTTTTTGTGAATGTAGACATTTGTGAAATTTCCCTTGTATTGGAAATTTCAACTAATATTGTGGAACTTTCTTGACAGAATTGACAGAATTCCTGGTAACCGGTTTTATCATCAATGGAAGGATACGCTCGCTGTTCCTCGGATCCTCTTGATTTTTCCCGGTTCCGTGAGCTGAACGGGTTTCATGGAGCGGCGAACGGGACAAGTGAAGAGCACCTCACCTCCTCCTGCAGGAGTCATGCCTCGCTTCAGCACCTACAAACCAGATCAGCAACACAACGCTAGAACACAACCCAACCATTTGCATTTATGCATGTGCAGATGCTTTTATCCAAGGCGACTTGCATTGCATTCAATGTAAACGCTGCATCACTTCATGCATTCACTGGGAAACTGAGCCAAGTTAATAGACTAATAGTTTCAAGTTTGTCACACACTACTTACAAACCTTTATTTCCAGACCGGCTCCATCAATCCCAAACTTCTTCATCAAAGGAATGGCAGTGACCTTCAGAAGATCCACCTAGAGAACATGAGCATTTTACACCGATAATTAGACATCAAAGCAGAAGAATCAAATGTGATTACTATAATATTACCACACACACACTCTCAGAATAACAGTCGACAGATACTGGATTGTGGCGAAAACTAATGAAAAGTAGGAAAATCTGGCCAAAAATTTGTTATATGAACAAAAATGAAATTTATTAAAAGGTTCACAATAATGTCTTGGGAAAAAAAAAATATATATAATAATAATCCAATAACAAACAGCTGTGCTTTATCACACGCAATTTTTTATTATTATTTTATTATCATGAAATGTATAAGTGTAACAAGAAATGGAGAGAAACGCAACATTTCTAGAAGTAACATCAGCTCAGCTCAAGTGTAATTCAGTATACAGTATGTCCATGTGCCCTCATATAAACTTTATACCATGCTCAGTTTTTAGATGTATATATTTCACCTTGCTCTTATGTTTGTTTTGCACATTGGTGTATGCAAATTTCAATGTTGTTATATTTTTCATATTCATTCATACCGTGTTATTCTTTATGATTCTTTCTTTAATTGTTACTTCACATTACATTATATTAATGTCTTATGTTACACATATACTCAAGTATTATTCATTTATTCTCTTTATTTCCATTTATACTCATATGTGACCCTGGAGCACAAAACCAGTCATAAGGGTAAATTTTTGGAAATTGAGATTTATACATCATCTGAAAGCTGAATAAATGATCTTTCCATTGATGTATGGTTTGTTGGGATAGGACAATATTTGGTCGAGATTCAACTATTTGAAAATATTGAATCTGAGTGTGCAAAAAAATCTAAATATTGAGAAAATCATCTTTAAAGTTGTCCAAATGAAGTTCTTAGCAATGCATATTACTAATCAAAAATGAAGTTTTGATATATTTACAGTAGGAAATTTACTAAATATCTTCATGGAACATGATCTTTACTTAATATCCTAATGATTTCTGGCATAAAAGAACAATCTATAATTTTGAGCCATACAATGTATTGTTGGCTATTGCTACAAATATCCCCCAGCGACTTAACACTGCTTTTGTGCTCCAGGGTCACATATTCCATTGACGTAGTATATTTTTCTTCATTTGACATAAGAAAGTACATCTTGTTATGCTTAAGTGATGTCTGGATAGGATGTTGGAAACGTATTCTCTGCAAAAATATTTTTATATGCAAGGATGTTTGCTAAATTTGTCTTTCGTGGTACAGCGAGTTCTTTTCCAAGAGCTGGTGTTTGCCAAGATCTGCTATTTCTGCTCAAAAGGTGTAAAACCACAGCCTGTCAGCCTCATCTGTGCTTTTATCTGATCTCATCTATCGCACCTCATTGTCATGTCAACATCACCTGACCTAGCTTTGAGCTTCAAGTTAATAAGACAGTGACACAATGGATAAAATCGATCAGACAAAGATCTTGTGATGTTGTAAGAGGATGTAAGTCTTTAGTATATAAATTATTCCAATTGGCTTATCAGACATCTGCTTCTTTTCTTCTGCACATATCACATGCTCCAAAGGCCTTTGTCTTTTGACTTCTGAGAATTATTATACTTTGGTTAAATCTCAGAGATTTTAAGTAGAATATATACTCAGCTTGAACTTTGTAATCATTTTTTTTTTACTTTAATATTTCATTTCTGTAATTGTTATCATTTATGATTTTGTCTTAAAATTAGGCTCGGCACGATAGATGGTGCTGACGGTGTTAAGCTGCAACACTTACGGTTATGTCACTTGCCCACCGCGTCACCGACACCCACCGTCGTTTTGATTTTTTATAGTAATAAAAATAATTTAGTTCAGTAAAAGAACAGACACTACAATTAAAAACTGAAAGCAGGCTGCTCAATGCAGCATGCCGAACGACAGTCGCATCACAGATCAGATTTCATTTCTCCAGTGAGGAGAGTGAGTCGAGCCGACTGATTGAGAGTGAGGTGAGACAGACAAGAAGAGTGAGGTGAGACAGACAAGAAGAGTGAGGCGAGACAGACAAGAAGAGTGAGGCGAGACAGACAAGAAGAGTGAGGCGAGAAAGACAAGAAGAGTGAGGCGAGGTGAGACAGACAAGAAGAGTGAGGCGAGACAGACAAGTAGAGTGAGGCGAGAAAGACAAGAAGAGTGAGGCGAGGTGAGACAGACAAGAAGAGAAGTAAATCATGGGCTAATTTTCATTTTTGGGTGAACTATCCCTTTAACCAACAAAGAGGCCCTGCAATCAGAGTTTCGACGGCATGGCAACAACACTCTACCACAACAACTCTTCCTTTTCTCTAAAGCAGCCCAACATGGCCACGCCCCCTTTTTTAATGTAAATTTTAGGGTTTGTGATGTCACAAATGCAGGAAGAAGCTCATCGTAGTCTTTTTTTTGTAGTCCTTTAAATAGGACTCCCTTTGCATTGAACTCTGAGCGTCGTAACTTTGCAGACGTTGTTTATGCTCTAACAGCAACATTTCACACGAACTAAAGTTAACAAAGTGAAATCGTAATCAACCACCCATTTAAAGGGACAGTTCACCCAAAAATGAAAATGTATTTATTTTTGCACTTTATTCTGCTGAACACAAAAGATGATATTATGAAGAATGCTGGCAATCTAACAGACAATGGCAGCCATCAACTTCTATAGTGTGGAAAAAATACCTTGGGAGTCAATGGCTACCGTCAGCTGTATGGTTCCGAGCATTCTTCAAAATATCTTCTTTTGTGCTCAACAGAAGAAAGAAACTCGTACAGGTTTGGAACGATGTGAAGGCGAGTAAATGATCACAGAATTTTCATTTTTGTGTGAACTGTCCCTTTAAATTGACAAATTAACACTAAAGGTGACAGGTTTCCATCCCTGACCAATGGGCAAGTATCGGTGAAAATTGGGCAAACACTCACCGATGGGTCTGTGGGGTCGTTGGTGACGCCCTTCAGCACGGCTCTGAGCAGGGTCTTCCCGAACGGGGCCAACATGAGCAGAGCCTCCAGATAATAACCAATCGAGCGCTGGACGTTACACTCGTGCTCCACCGAGCCGCCGTACAGCAAACCCGGCTGATAGAACAACACCGTTCCTGCGTCAACAGATGAATATCATCAGAGAACAACCAACACGTCTGTTAACCAGCGTTCACCAGAACTCACCCGTCTGGTTGATCTCGATCCTGGTGCCGTTGGTCACTTTGTCGAGGAGCCTGACGAAGCTCGCTTCAAAATCTGACCAGCACAAACACATCTGACCTTTAGATTTCAATGAAATAATCAAATAATATCTTCAGCAAAAGAGCAAAAACAGACGCACATTTTGAAACACATAAAAACAAAAGATCAAAAAAAACTAAACAGGAAAAATCTGATGAGAAGAGCCACATTTAAGCCAAGCTGCTGATATAACGCCTTCTGCTTTAATGCCTGAAACTAGTTTCGAAGCCAAATATAAATTTGATTATACATTTATTTACAAGACTAAAATGTCATACAATGCTTTTAGACGAAAGAGTGGATCATTAACTAAAATTATGTGAATTTTAGTTATCCAAAGTAAAAAATTATGAAAAAAATAATTAAAAAAAACAATAAATGTACAACAAAGATTTTTTAATTATATATAAATAAAATACACTAAAAACAAAAATCCATTAAAATATGGTAAAAAAAATACTTATTTTATTTAGAAAAGAAACTAAAAGGCAAATAAATAAGTCTAGAATAAACAGGGTTCAAAATGACAAACAAACTTGGACATGCAGTGGTATTTTATTGATAAAATACATTTAAAAGGCAAATAATTAAGCCTAAAATTAATAGAATACAAAATGACAAAAAACCTAAACAAATAAATACAAGAAAATAAATTCATAAATGAACTGAACATGCAATAAATACAAGTAATAAACTATTTTAAACTACAGAGACAAAAACTCTGGATACATGTGCTGTAGATAGATGATGCTGTGATGATAATGTATTTCATATAATGGATGTATAGATGTTTTGATGATGATGAAGAGCTGTGTTATTGATTGTTTACATGCTGCATCACGTGTCATGTGTGTTGTTGTGATATAAACGCACCTCGCAGGCCGGGATTGTCATCTTTAGATCTGATGTTTAGTATTTTCTCTCGTTTTCTGCTCAGTGTGGACAACACGAGTCTCTGTCTGAAGCAGCTGCAGCCCTCAAACTCCATGATGTGAGGAACACACGTGCTTCTGCACTCAACACAGACTCGCGACGAGAGCCCGCGAGGGACAAACCACAAAACGCGAAGGCGAAAAGATGACCACCAGAGGGCCCAACTTTCTCTGCTCGGACACCACAGACTAGAGAGAAACTGTAGAAAGGCATTTTTTATTATTTTAATCTATGCTGTTTTTTTTTGTCAAGCTAAATAAACTATGTAATACAATAAAAATGTAGAAATATATTAAAATAAAAAAAGGTTAAATATAAATGTTAAATGGAAACAAAATGGAAAGGATAAAAACTATTAAAATTAAAATAATATAAATGTACATTTCTTATAAATATATTAAATGTATAGTTATATTTTATTCATATTTTAGTGATGTTAATAATAAATATTAATAATTTTACAAATATTTTATAATATTAATATGCATATTTTTATTTTTATATTTAGTGATTTAATATCTGTCATGAATACTGATACTAGCTTATTTATTTATTTGTCTATTGAGATTTGATCTCATTTATTTGTGAATATTAAAATTAAAGATTTACAGTTTACAGTCAAAATCTTTTTTTTTTTGTACTTATTTTGTTATTATTATTATTATTTGTCATATCACATATAGTAGATAAGATATATAAATTTTTTTCAAACCACATTTTACAAAACCAAGACAAAATCTAAAAATCAAAGGCAAAAATATTTCAAATGTATTATTTAAAGCTTAGCTATTTTATTCATTAATCGAATGTCAATAAAACACAAACAAGGCATTTATTAAGACCTTTTGTGAATTTACAGTGAATTCAGGTTAGTATGTGTTCAGTGACATACATTTTATGCATTTTATAATAAAAAGCAGATACATTTTCCCTAGTGCAGATATTTCCAATTCTAGACTACTACATTAAAAGTGTGCTGGTTTTATCTGGTCTTGACCTTCCTCTTAATATGTCAGAAAGCTTCACTGCATTTAACACACACACTCACTCACTCACACACTCACTCACACACACACACACACACACACACACTCTCTCTCTCTCTCTCTCACACACACACACACACACACTCACA